CCCCAGTCCTACCCTAACCCTAACCCTAACTCTAACCCTAATCCTAACCCACACACAGTGTCACATCTCGGAGCGTCGCCCTCATTTATCCTGTTTGTGATACATTTATTTTTATTCACCACATAAACACGGCCATAACAACGGCCTGTTGAGCTGGCAAAATAATGCAGGCAGTTCAGAGTAAATGGCCAAGCTGTGTGTGTGTGTGTGAGAGAGAGAGAGAGAGAGAGTGATGTTAAGATGGGAAAGAAAAAACACACACACAAAAATGTGTGTGTGTGTGTGTGCACACACACAAAAAATCTGTGTGTGTGTGTGTGTGTGTGTGTGCTCTGTGTTTAATTGGTCTTTCCTCTCGTGCTCCTTCTGTTGGTGGAAATAAATCATGTTTGGGTTATAATCTTCAAAGTGTCTTCTCTTTAACTTTTAATAATGATGCATTCCTCCTGCCATACGACTTCCTGTGTGTGTGTGTGTGTGTGTGTTCTCTCATCACAGGCGCTCTCAACGTGATTCTCAGAGTCCGGAGCATCGCCTCTGTGGACTCCATGGTTTGGTCCAAGTCCGGACCTCAGGGCCCAGACTGGAAGAAGGCGTTCTTTGACGTCAGCCCCAGTGGACCGTTCCAGGTGAGAGTGTGTTTTTTTCTACATTCTACCCAGATGTGAACACACACACGGAAACAAATCTCAACCTACAACGACCAATATTCAGGGAACAGAATGTTGTTGCACACACCCTCCAGCAGGGGTTTCAAACTCACTGACCTGTGGACCACTTTCCATCCGTGAACCATAATTGAACCTCCTGCTGCTGTCATTTCTGTCAGGTCTTTTCTACTAATTATTTTATAGACAAACAGACTCCACTGACAATCAAACCAAAAAAAAAACTGCACGGAAAACAGAATCCAATATGGAAAACTGAACTAAAGATGGTATGTTTTCTGTTACATTTTTTAAAAAAGTGTGTGTGGTAATGTTCTTCACCTCAGGCTGTTTTCACTTTTTTTTTTTTTTTTTTGTATATGCTGGGTGTGATCATTACGGACAGGACTGAGCAGATCAGAGGGGCAGTTGAGGTGGGGCAGTTTGGAGGTGAAGATACCTGAGACTTCATGACTGTAAAGCTGGAGGAAGAAGACAAATACCACAGAGAAAGGTTTAACACCAGGGGGGGTCGTGGAGTAGGCTGACACTCGGCTGTGGTGACCCCTGAACTGGGGGGTGGGGGGAGTAGATGAAGGAGGAATAGAACAAGATAAAATATCATTTTAAAATCAAACTGGATGGAACACTCCCCCTCCTCCCCATCCCCTCTTTCCCATAAGGAAGTCCATCCAAGAACACTCAGTCTGTGTTTGAGTTTGGACTGTTGACACGTCCTCCTGGTCCCAGAGTCTCTTAGGCAGCGCCACTTGAAGTCGGCCTGTCCCTGCTGGGAGTTGGTTGAGTAAACTGTGAGTCAGTCCTCATCTCTGGACTCCATGTTGAATTTCCTCCCTCACTGTATCAGTCTTCTCCCTCCACTGTTTGTCTACACTGTACGTGTGTGTGTGTGTGTGTGTGTCTGCTTCAGTTTGCTGAAAACTCTGCAGACGGAGAAACAATTGTGTTTCTCTGCAACAACAGGTCGGGGACAAAGACGGACGTTGGATTTGTTTTACATCCATTTATAAAACCTTAAAAAAATTGAACAGAATGTGATGAAATGCAGTAAACTGTGTCTGTGAATCACGTGTGCAGATTCAGACGAGGCCTCGACTTCCCTGTGCTGTGTGTACAGTGTGTAATGGAGAAAATAAATGCACAAACACGGTGTTAAAGAGCGACACACCAGCACATGTAAAGGAACGTTTTTAAACACACACGGAACCGATTCCTATCCCCAGCAGCAATTAGCTGTGACAGGTCAATTAACAGACTTATTTACGAGCGAGCCATGCTGGTAGTTGTGTTCTAATGATTCCGGATAGTGTGTGTGCGCACATGCATGGGGGAAAATGGAATCGATGATGAATGTGAGTGGAAGGCTGGGAGCGGCGTTAGCGCCTTCTAAAGCATTCCTCAGGAACAGCGCCGTTTGTTTAGCAATAATTCAAGGCCAAAGGACTGGAGGCTTTACTGGCCCTCTGTGATTTTAGTAGAGGCAATAATGGTTCAAAAATAAAATCACAAACTCTGTTTACCATAAGAAGCCAATCTATATCTTTTTCATAAATGCGTATTTTTTATATATTTTGGTCTTTTTCCACATACAGAGTTTCTTCTTCTCTAAATGCTAAACATCCCCAGACACACATTACAAATTCAATTACAGGCAACCTTGGTTCAACTATTATTTATTTCAGTCTTTTAACCATACACTACGTACGTTTTAATTAGTTCCTGACGCATTTAGAATGTAAATGCCCTGTTAGAGGCTGTGTTAGCGTTCAAACTGACGCTAACGGCCGGGCGTGGAGGAATGATGGTGCTTTTGTGATAACTTTGAAATTAAAAATTAAAACCTAGTATTGAGTGTTTGTTTGTTTGGTTGGTTTTCCTTTTCACATATACATATTCAGAGTTACACATTAACTTTGTTTTAAAACCAGTTAAACCGACCAATCACAGTGGTACATGGACTATTAATAATTTATGTCCCTGGAAATGTACCTAAATGAAGTAATAAAGTATTTGTACTTTGTAACTGTACACTTCTGAAAATCGGTGCATGATTAATTATGTGTGTGTGTGCTGCTGTTCACACACACACAGCAGCTTCACCAACCACTGACATGTCATAAATGGAGCTGTTAAATAATGTAGCGTGTGAGGCTGAAGTAGCCAGAGGAGGCTACCTGATAAAACCACTTTTTTTTTTCCTCCCCACTCTTTCTCCTTATTCTCACTTTCTTCCCATCTCACCAGCCTCTGTTATGTATTCAGCTCTCCGGGGGTCTGATGAAGTGAAATAAGACCTGTCTGACTCTCTTTTTTTTATTTTCTTCTCAGCCAATCCTGGCTGCTTCCATCTCTCTCTCTCTCTCTCTCTCTCTCTCTCCTGCCTCCCCGTCTTCGTCTCAATCCCTCTCCCTGTGTCTTGTTCTCTTTCCATCGCTGTCTTCCTCTCTCTGGGGAGTTGTGTTTTACGTACAGTGTGTAACCATTAGGCTGCTGCTGTTGACAATCACCCCAACACAATTGCTGGGGGTTTGTGTGTGTTTGTGTGTGTGTGTGTGTGTCCTTTCGTTTAGCATTTTAGACAAGTGTAACAAATGACAGGGGATTTGAAACTGACTGAAGTTGAAAGATGGTTCTGATGGTTCTGTCAAAACGATGTGTAACATAAATGATACAATCAAGAGCAGGCATGGGTTAGGGTTTCATACATATATGTATACATGTATACATATATGTTTACATATATACATATATACATATATGTATATATGTATACATATATACATATGTTTACATATACACATATATGTTTACATATATACATATATGTTTACATATATGTATATATAAATACACCGTTGTGTGTGTATATATGTATGTATACACACATATATGGATTTTGTCTCTTTAACAAAAACTCACCTATTGTGTCAAATATTGCAATATACTGATTTGATCTTGTAACAGGAATTATTAACGAGCAACGACATGGAATATGTGTGTTTTTAAAAATCAGTGAAAGTCTTAGCTCGATATCTATGTAGCAGGGACTTAGTGACGTGTCTGTGGTTTAAGGCCACCGTGGAGAGAATGTTTTTACTGGTGTTTCTTGGTACGATGCAGGAGCATGAACACAGAGAGGACAGATTGTGAAGTCACGGCACGGCTCACTGACCGCCTCCACCAAAGGTCTTTGAGGTTCTGCCACTCGCCTCGTGTGTTTCGCTCGTCTTTGTTCTCCGTCCACCAAAAGTAACGATGTTTTTGAGAGCGGTTTCCCCTCCTCTCTCTCTCTCTCTCTATCTCTCTCTCTCTCCCTGTAGCCCAGTGTGTGGCTAACAGGAACACAAGGCTTCTATGTTAAACAGGCGTCGAGACGAAACGGCAGTAGAGAATCATAAAAACATGAATTGTTTACTTGTTGATTTAGATATCTTCACTTTGGAAAGTTCACAACATTGAAAACTGTTTTTCCTACATTCCTCATTCCTGTCCAAAAGAATTCCACAACAGGAAAACTCATGTACACACGGAATCGGTTTTGTGCAAAAGCGGCTAACACGTTGTAGTCGGTTATTTGCATTTCAATTTTGGCTCCTCTGTGGATTACCCAGAAGCCATCTGTGATACTCACAGTGTTTTGTACCTGGGGCTTTTTCAGAAACCAGGCCAACCCACATTCTCATCTCTGTTTGTCTCACAGTTGTTGTTTTGTGTTTGTAAAACTGAGCAGTAGTGCAAAGGTTCCAGGCTGGTGCTTCATAAATGTCCTCTCATGGCTTCAAGTGAAAAAAAACTTCTTCTTTCAACCCATTCTGGGCTTCATTCATTCATTTAGGAGTTTAAAACATGGGGTCGCGTCCATGAGGAAAGCAGTGTTGTCAAGAAATGTCTACGTCTACTTTCTCCAAGTGAACGAGCTCCTGGTTCACAACATTAGTTTGAAATATCTGTAGAAACTTATATAAAAAAAAAAGAAAAAGAATCCAAGAAAAATACTAAGAACCAAATCAACATCCCAAAAGGCAATAATTGTGACGCCAAAAGGAAATTTAATTAAAAAATTGAAGAAAGATTCAGAGACACGAAGGAAACACTAAAGGAGATTTGAAACAATGGAAGAAACACTAAAGGTGATTTGAAACAATCGTAGGTTTATAGGTACCTGTGTCAGCCGTCAGTGACACCTACTGGACCATCTGTGAAAGTGTTTTTCATTGTTTTTGTGCACCAACCCTCTTATTTTCCAGACAAATGTGCTGTTTTTTGATTAACTGGGTGCACGGGGCTTTTGGTGCCTCGGTACAACACAGTAATTAGGCTGTCAGTCAAAACTCGATGCCTTGTGGCTAAAGTTGGAAAGTTTTCATGAGTGCCTCTTGTTTAGCTTTGTTGTTATGGTCCCAGATTGTTAGGAAATAATGAGCTGGATTGCTGCTAAATCCCTAATACATATGTAAGACTTTTTTTGTTTTTTTCTCAGCTCTGTTTAATTACTGTTTCATCTGAATGTTGTTGTGTCGCACAGCAACTGATCACATTTGTTCAAACCGTGTAAATGGGCTGATGTTCAAGCCACAGTGAAGTCCTCTTACATTCCTTCACTGATGCTCAACTATAAACTGATGTTATATTCTTCAAACTGCCTCTAGATTATGATTCCATTCATTGTTGTGATAATGCAGTAATATTTTAGAAGTCAGAAAAATAACTGAACTGAATGAAAAATATTTAATGTTCTATAACTAACTTTTTAAGACCTCACTCTGAAGTTGTCCATGTTAATTATTGTTTTGTTTTGGGGTTTTTTTGTCTCCTCTCGACACAGATTGTGTTTGAAGGAATCCGAGGTTCCAGCTTCGAGGGAGACATCGCCATCGACGACGTGTCCATCACTACTGGGAAGTGCAAACAGGAGAACACTGTAGCCAGCGCAGGTAAGACAGGTAAGATAGAGAGGAGAGATGTAAAGATAGGCAGCCTCTGTAGGGACGTCAGTGGACACAGGACGGCTGTAGGTGAGGGACGTCACGATGGCTCAAACCTGAAAAGGTCTGGGGTTTCTGTTGTGATCTCCTCCCTGTTTCTCCAAACTCATTCAACCAGGATCAATATCTGTCTGATATTAGTCAGAATTTTAGAAACAAACATCGCAAAAAACCACTACAGCCGCCTGATCCTATCGCAGAAACAAACAAACCACTACAGCCGCCTGATCCTATCGTGCCCAGGGACATATTGGCATCAAGTCTCACAAGGACACATCGTTAACTCCTGCCTCACTATAAGACCATTCCCCAGTTTGCTAATATTGTTGTGTGCTTCCTTTATCTGATAATCCCTGTTTGTTAAGGACTGTCTGACCACAGGATTATCTGAAACTCTCAGAATTAAAAACTCCTTCAGCGCTGACATGTGATTAATGAGAAACACTCACCGAGCGAAGCGAACTCGCCAAGAAAGTAAAGTCCAAGAGGAATTATAATGAGATGAACGAAATGATACCAAAATAAAGACAGTTTGTCCAAGTGTAGAGATCTTTTAGAAGAAAATAAATAAAAGAAATCTTCTAATTGGTTACAGCAGGTTTGTCAGAACAGAGCGGAGCAAAAAGACAAAGGAGACAGAAAGAAAAGGGACAGAGTAATGGTTGTCTGTGAGCAGAGGAACTATAAAGAATACTCTCACCGTCTCCATACTTTAATTTGGTGTTTAGTTTTAAGATATGGTTTCTTATTCATTAGTGTTGTTACATTTTCTTAGCTACTGTCTCTCTGGATTCTCCAAGGTAGAAATCAAATCAATGACAAATGAAGTGGTCAGTGTTCAGAGCCTGTGGATTCTGATGAGTTTTCCTTCAACATCGTGGCTTAAAAAAAAAAAGGTGTTTTGTTTTGTTATTATATTCCGTAATCAAACGTTGTCTCTCGCCGTTTTCCAAAACAAAATACAATATAACTGTCATCATTTCTTCCAGAATGTTCTCCATGGTTCTTAGCTAACCTGCTGTCAACTAGTTTGTGACAAACAAACTGGTATAAATGGCATCTGGTCGGGATTAAATCAATCTGTCAATATGCAATTTGGAAACAGAGCACAAATGTAGTGTTTTTTTATATTTTTTAATTGTTTTTTCAGACGCCCGACTAAAATCCAAAAGACCCCAAGAACAACAGAAAGAACTGAATCTTTATCCAAAATCTCATTGAGGAAAACTCAATTATGCCTAAGAACAAGTATTAGAGTAACATAAAAGTAATTGCTTCCAAAATAAAAATAAATAACAGGAATAACAGCTGCTCGACACAAACTGCAACATTAAAGTTTGACTTCGTTATCAAGTTCTTCTGCTCATTTATCAAATAAAGAACAATGATGACTGAACCTGTTGATGCTTCAGGTTGAAGGTCAAAAATCATTTTTTTAATCTCCAGTCCAGACCAGACAGAAATTCCACATATAAATCCAAATATGCCGACGTTTCAAACATATACATTTTCTGTCCTTCGTGTTTTTTTTCTCTAACGGAGGAAACCTCGGAGCCGAAGGGAAACACTGAACGTGACAACTGGTTTTTCTTTCTCTACCTTTTTCAACCCCCAGCGTGACACACTCCTGCACCGGTGGGTTTGAGTCGGAGCTGGAGTGTGTGTGAGAACTCACAAATATGTGCATGTTAAAAGGCTGGCGGATGGAGTGAATAATGAATAAAGGTGTAAACAGGAAGAGGGAAGCTCCCCAGCTCTGTGTCCCGCAGCTCTGGAGCAGACGCAGCCGTACAGTGAAGACAGACGGGAAATCTGAATTATAACGGAGATCCTGCCCCTGTCTGACGTGTTCCTCAGTACAATTACACACGTAGAGACTAAGGTCAACTCAAACTCTTTAGTTTGAAGAATGTATGACTTTAAAATGGAAGTATTTATAATTGTAAATAAATCTAGAGTTTACTGAACCTTCACTCAGCAACCGCAGGAGGAAAACACCTGGAGGTTGAAGCCGCAGAGAGCGCTCTGAGGCTCAGGTGCTAAATCAGCCAATAACCCCAAACTGTCTCATTGTTTTATGCACGGTGTCTAGGTCAGTCTTTCTCAAACGGTGGGTCATGACCCAAAAGTGGGTCGCTGGATTGTGTGCAAAAAAAAAGAAAAGTTGAGGGGCGGGGAAGTCAACTTTTTTATACTTTTTTTTTATATAGTTTGAGCTGCATGCAGCTTCCTCTGTGACAACACAACACACTCACAGCCGTCATCGCCATGACAACAGTGTCCATCATTCTGGGAGTTTGTGTGAAAAATATGCCGCGGTTGTGGGTTCTCCCTCACAACAGAGAAGAGTGAAGGAAGTCGACGGCTCAGTTCGCTGTCTCTAATGAAAAAAACAACAACAACTGACATTACTGACTTCAGAAATCCCTCGATACTTAATGAAACTCCTCGTCTTCAAAAGCATTTCGACATAAAGGACCAATTCTAAGGGTTTTGTGAGGTGGTTTTTTTCTCTTTGTTCTGTGGAGATGAAGACGTTTTAGACACAACTAAAAATCATTAAAACTCACTAAGACTCACTGCCCAACTGTTCACCACTGAATCTGTTATTGTTACAATAAAAATAGACCGAAAGTCAAACAAACATATAATTATAGCACATTTTCCCCAACGATGCATTTTTAAAAATCATGATAAAATCACATCGTCAACGTGTTGTGAGTTGATAATGTCGTTACATCTGAACGTGGTCTTTTTTAACTCGCGGTCTTTTACAAATGAACGATTGATGGTCAAACGTACCGAGTGTTTTTTTTTCACCAACAGTGAAGTTGCAGTGTAGTTAAGTGAGGGGTCAAAGGTGACGCCGGTCGGTGGAAGGTCAATTGTTTCTCTCTTCCTCCGGTGTTTTCTTTTTAAACATACGACTGAAGAGAAAGATGTATCGCTCTGTCCGATCGATAAAGTATACTTCCCTATTCCTGCAGAAGCTTGTGTGTGTGTGTGTGTGTGTGTGTGACCAAGCATGAGTGAGCCAGACAGAAAGGGGCAAATGAGTTGGGTGAAAGATAGAGAGAGAGAGAGAGAGAGTGTGTGAAGCTATATATTGTCTCTATATTCTGTGTTGGTGTGTATATATATATGTGTGTGTGTGTGTGTGTGTGTGCCAACACACACCGCCGTTCAAATCTGTATTATAATTATCGATTTACTGCCTGGTGGATGGACTCCTGATATAAAACTGTATTGATCTATTTATTACAATAGCTGCATTCAGTTCATCAAACGCCGACTCCGAGCCTCCTCCGAGTTCGTCTGCTTTTCTTTTTTTTCTTCTGTTTTATATATTTCATTATGTTAACAAACCAGCGTCCTCTGAAAGGCTGAGGATTTATGTCCTTGATCAGGAGGAAAGTCTCGTGCACTGATAACGACTGGGTTTCCCAACACTTCAAATGACAGAACACGCAAGACACGTACGTGCCCGTCCAGGCTAACAGCCGTACGATAAAACAATGAAAGCTGCAGAGGAAAAAAAAAAAAAAAAAAAAAAAGGAAAAACAATCCGTCATATATCGCTGATGATGACATCGGTTGTAACTCGTTTTATTCATTAAATCAGCGAAGCCGTCGACATGATACGTAGATACGTAGATCCACTCCACAGCCTCATCCTTCTAGTTTATTTATTTGGCACAAAGGAGACATGCACACTTCTGTATATGCACATATATGTACATATAAGTGTACATATATGTACATGTATATGTGCATATATGGACATATATCTGTTCATTTATATGTCCATATATGCACATATACATGTACATATATATGTAAACATATATGTGTACATATATGTACACATATATGTAAACATATATGTGTACATATATGGACATATAAATGAACAGATATATGTCCATATATGTACACATATATGTTTACATATATATGTACATCATATATATGTACATGTATTTGAGTCTGTTCTGAGTTCATTTGTCTATACGGTACGTACTGTATGTGATAACGAGTTCTTCTTCATGAACTCTCCAGACTGCAGCCTTGTGGTGAAAAGTGGTCAGTGCTCCTGCCTTACAAAGACAAGAGCACGGGTTAACTGGTTCGATCCCAGCGTTAGCAGCTTCTCCCTGTGTCTGACTGGGTTTTCTGTGATTATTTCACTTTCCTGACACAGTCTGAAAACATAGAACTAGGTTAAATAGACGCTCTTGTTTCAACGTATGAATGATGAATGGATTTCAGATTAGAGTTCATCCCACGTACTTCCAGCGTTTCCCCGACCCTGAGGACGAATGAGCCGTAGATTTATTGTTTCTCCGGAATCTCACAAAAAGTCTATGTAATAAAAGTTAATAATCTTCTAGTTTAAATGATCTCATCTCAACCAGTTTAGTTGAAGACAACGCTGCTCTACTGGCAGGAATTGAAGAAAGACACTCAGGTGTCCTGCTGCCCCCTAGCAGAAGAGTATTTCATTGTTCTGCCTTTAATGCGTTGATGAGCAAAGAAAAATTATAGGGAATAAATAAATAATAGTTTTCAGCCCAATAAAGTGAAACTGGATTCATTTCCACGCCCCACGTCGTGTGCCACGGCCCAGTGGTTTGGAATCACTGCCTTAGTGGATACTGATTGTAATTCATCACAAAAGCTTTGACACTTTAATGTTCTTTTAAAAAAAAACCTGCCATATGTTTTTTCCCTTTTTTTTCTTTCTGGCACAAACGTTTAATAAATGTGAGTCTTGGTTCAGGTGTTAGGAAACGTAACAAGATAAAAAGATCTTCCACTGCACGTACGCTGACTGACTGTGGAGCAGATTCTAATTAAAAAGCCTTTCCTTTTCCATAGTTCTGATTGGAGGATCCCACCCACTCCCATTGGCCAGCGGGCTGACCTTTGGCTCCTCCTGCCTCCTGCTGTTACTCTACAGATGATGAGCACTTCTCTCAGCGCCCCCTGGTCTGCACTGTCAGACGCCGCCCTGACCTGGCACTCTTTGCTCCTCTCTCCTTTCCTTCCTCCATCGTCTCCTTCACTAGACCACTCGCCGGTCTGTCCTACTTACTCTCCATTCTATCCTTTACACTTTCCTTTCCGTTTCTGTAGCCCATAAATCATTTCTCACCGTCTTCGCCGACTTCTAACATTTGGCGTCAGACACGTGGATAACCCGGCTGACGTTCAAAGTGTATTTAGGCTGAACCTTCAGCGACGTCACACCCTCGTCTCCTTTGTCTCTCCATCAACCTGATCAGATTTATGATATCCATAACACGGTGTCACATTGTCGCCTCCCCCTCTCCTGAACCCACCCTCCCCGACCATGCCCGTACCCTCTCATATATCTACGCTCCCCAGGACTGCAGAACCTTGACAGCCCAATTCCCGAGACACACCAAAGTGTCGGACACCCAACCAAAGATGACAAAAGACCTAAGGGATTAAAGCAAAGGAACATGACTTCCAAGAAGAAAGTGAAAGAGAGGTGGAACGCCTGGAATATCATTCTTTTTCACAGAAACTGTCTGTCCTAACCTTTGGGACGCTGGGAGTCGCTGAATGACAAAGACAGGAGGGAGAACTGTTGAAGGAGCGAGTGAATGGACGAATAAAAAAATATATGAATGAGGAGGAAAGGACAAACCAGAGACAGAGGGAAGAAGAAGAAGAAGGACGCTTCCAGAAGCCTCTTTGTCTGCCCTCTGCTTGCCCCAAGAGACCGACCTCAATGCGGATATACGTGTACATTTATCTATATATAAATATATAAACATATAGCGAATATAACAAAGTTTAAAGTTAAACACAACTAGGGCAGTGGAGGACTTGAAAAAGTGAAGTTAAAGAAGCACAACGTTTTTACAACCTCTGCTGATGTTTTTGGGTTTGGATTCTACTTATGATGTAATGTTGCAATTTGTCATACTTAATGTTTTGATATTTTGCTTTTGTTTTTTTGTTTATGACATTAAGGGTTAAGACCAACGTGTAATAAAGTGTTATAATATTTATAAGAGAAAGACAAAGAGTTGTGATCCCGAATCAAGCACTTTTGGACGAAAAGCAAGGACGACACCTGGAGAGAATGTCTGTGTTTCTTTGTGAAACAGTACTGACCACACACACACACACACACACACACACACACAGACACACACAGACACAGTGGTTTTGTCTGTACCATCCCAGTCTCACACTGTGCCTCAAAAACATGCCTCATCTGTAGGGGACACAGAGGAAATGCTGCGAATGAAAGATGCAATTATCATTACCCAGCATGCATTTTACATCAGCGTCTCACTAACGACGTTCCGACTCATTCTGTTTTCCCCCGACCACTGAAGAAAAGCTGGTCAACAATAGCAAAAGTGAGAATAATGAACTTTAAACACAACGTGATTCGGCCTCAGACTGAACCGTGAAACGACATGAAATGATGTTGAAATCTTCTGACATAAACAGCCAATTTATTTAGAAATATTTTTCAATAAACTTCATCCTGTCACATCTGGTAATCTATGTAACGGTTGCTTTTGAGAGAGCGGTAAATTCAGTGGAGAAAAAAAACCTTCACAGACGGTAACGTTGGACAGGATTCATGTAAAACCATGGAACTGCTTCACCATCACTTACACTGGTCACGGAGCCGATGTTTACGTCTTATTCTGTCAGTACCATCGTGTGCATCACTCTTGTCACCTGTTGTTGTGTTGTTTTTATTATTATTGTTACTATTGTTGTCATATTGTGTTGGTTTTTTTTTTTTCTATGGCCTGTGCAGCTTATAACAACATCTATAATTCCATTTACAGCCATCCATACACAGATGATGTGCCTACGTTCCACTGGTACGGAAGTTGGTTTCACTCTTACAGACTGTTCTGAGCCATATTTTTTTGTTTCTCTGCGACCATTTACCATAGACGGCTAAACGCAACCATATTTATCACTTTCATAACAACAACAACTCCAAATGCCTTTGACACGTCCTCAGACAAGCAGTGCTTACGTCTCTCCACCAACCACTGACGGCTGACGGAGTACGTGGTGTTAGTAGAAGCTTACGTTGTACAGACGACGCCGTGACAGACTGTAGGTCCGTTTGTTACCCACGAGAAATAAATCCAGAAGGAACATTAAACCTGGACGTGCATGGGATTTCATCACGGTTTGTTACCCAGAAATAAATCCAGAAGGAACATTGAACCTGGACGTGCATGGGATTTCATCACGGTTACTGTTGAATGACTGAACTGACATCACAGAAGTGACTGAATAAGTCACAGAAATGACAGAACGTGTTGTTGGAGTACGACGACGATTGACGAGGAACATAACAAACCTGCTACGGTTCAATGGCAGAAATAATATTTAAAAATTAATAATAAAATACAACAACAGGAAAGTCATTGAATCATTGTTTGTTTGTGTGAAAAACAAGATGTAATGCTGTTGAAAACAACACACACGTTTGGATCACCGTACTGTAGCATCATTAGCAGTTAGCATAAAACAAGACTGAGAGGTTGGACCAGCAATACGTTAATCTGAACAATAAAACACTGTCAGGTGTTAGTGGTTTGTTCTTCACCAGACCAGTGCACACACACACACACACACACATACAAAAAAAAATCCTTTAAAAATAATTTGAAAATTCAACTTGAAAAAATTAAATGAAATAAAGAAAAAGTCAAACTTGGCAACTTAAGTTGTTTTGCTTCCACTTCCAAACAAACATTCATTTACATAGTGAAAATTAGACACTTGAAATTCAACATTCTCCCTGTTGACTTATTACATTTCTGAATATTAATATAAAAAGCTGAGACTCACAGACTCAGAGCCAACAGGCAGAAAAAACCAACATGACCATACGACTGTTTCTCATCTCCATCTCTGTGTGTGTTGTACCTGAAGAGTATTTCTGGCTACTGTTATACATACAGTACATACTAGTATTGCATTATTCGTTGAGAGTATTCTTGTTTACCCTCGTAGTATCTCAACGACAAACATCTTTTTTTTCTTATTTAACCTGAGGTAACTGTGATTGAGCAACGTCTCTGCAGTTGCTTCAACATGGATCTGTTGCTGTTGGAGTTACAATAAAAGACAGTGTTTGAACTAAAACAGCAAAACTATGGAGAAGGAACCAATCACTGCTGGTACTTTTTAGAGGAAAACTTCATTTGTAATAAGACTCTGAACGGTAATAATAAATAAAAATGTGATCAAATAAAAGTTGTAGTTATTATTATTTTTATTATTTTTATTTTTTTTAACTTCCTCTGTCTTATCCCTGTGACTGATAGACTTATGGACAGACAGATCATTTCCTACAAACTTTAAAAAGTAAATTAAAACTTTTAAAAGTAAAATGATTAGCATTCTACAAACTTTAAAAAGTTAGTTATGACTGAGAATGATTAGCATCATCTCCATATTAACATTCACAGACTTTTCGTTTCCTTTTTTTTTTTTTTTTACCCTACTGACTGGACTGGTCAGAGTGATGCTGCAAATGCACTTCATTCAGTTAATTAGGACTGATCTGAATGTAATTAATAATTAGCCTTCACTTTCTTACGACATCAGCTTCAACAGAAACAGACTCAATAGATGTGTCTTGTTTGTTTGATGTGTGTGTAAACGTCAGAGCAGGAAGTAGGAGGCTTCCCTCAACTTTGAGTTGTTGATGCACGACCGAGGCCTCAATCACCTGCAGCTCTGTGTCTCAGTCTGAAGTTCATTGATGAATTTTCCAAAAGTAGAACAAATCACTAGAAATAAAGTCAGTCCAACAACGACGACGACAGACTCTGTCTCAGTGACAACTCCAACAGAAAACAACCTGGAAACACACTTTAGTAAAAAAAAAAGCTAAGAACACCAGATTCATACCAATATGTAGAAAGACAGAAACAATGGACGTTATTGGTCTGTTCATGAAAACCAAAGACATAAAAAAATCTGTCTAAGAATGAAGAAAAAAGAAAGAAGAAAAGTACGTTGGAGTTGGTTTTCCAAACAGAGTCAGAGTAGAGTTAGGGCAGGATGAGGTACACAGGACAGGACAGGACAGGACAGGACAGGACAGGACAGGACAGGACAGGACAGGACAGGACAGGACAGGACAGGACAGGTGTGGGAGTTCAGGTCAGGGTGAGGAGCTGGAGGAGACGCATCCAGAGATTAATGAGCTCCAGGTCCGGCCGCTCAGACAGGAAGGGGCAAATACGACTGGAATGGGGCTGAGCTGCTGGGCGGAGCAGCCAGGTGACTTGGACCTGGGGGGGGGGGGACTCACCCCTCTACTCTGCTCACATGCTCTGGTAAATGTACCACATTATGACCCAGATCTGACCCATTTAATCAGAAGCAGCCGGACACTGTCAGAACAAGAAGATCTAGTTGAACATGTTAAATGAAAAGTGATTTTTGTTTGTACTATAATGATCCCAGTAATCAATATATCAGGAATTGAGAAGAAAAATGTGCAGCAGATGTGAATCCTAACATGAGACAGATAAAAATGTGGACGAACTGTCCTCTGGCCTCTTGTCCTTCTTCTCCGAGGGCTTTTGTAAACTTGTATTTATTTAATTTCAGTGAATAAAATAGAAGAAGAAAAATATTCTGTTCAACTTCATTCCATTCATTACTCGTTTCCATCTCCACAGGAAGAGACATGGAAAACTAGTATTATTAGATACTAAGAACCTATAGCAAATAAACGAAGAGTCTCTCTCTCTCTCTCTCTCTCTCTCTCTATATATATATATATATATATATATATAAAAATATAGACATCTTAGTGAAGTTGGGGACGCTGAGAGAACGTCGATGTTTATTTGTGCACACGATGTAATCCAGCAGTAAAAAGCTCTTTGTTTTTTTTTTTTTCCGAGGGAACCTTGAGTTCCCGTTTGTGTAAATAAACCAATTATATTGTCAGTGTCCGCAGATGGAGAATGACCTGCTGACCTTTTATACGTGTAAGTGTCGCTCTGCACATTTACATTCATGAGAAAAATAAAGGAGAGAAAACATTCAGGTTGTTCTAAGAAAGCCTCAAGGTCTGACCACTGACGACGGCACTTAGTTTCCTCGTTATTATCATGGAGTAAAACGAACTATCACCTCAACATAATGTTATTAGAAAAATGTTACATCAGTTAATAGATAAAATCAGTCACAAAAATAAACATTAAAAAACGAATTAGAAAAACAAAATAATAATAAAACCATCAAATCTTATAAAGTATTTCCTGGTATTTTTTGGGGGGGGGTTTATTTTAGCTTTTTAACATCGGGATCATAAAATAACGACCGTACGAAGAGGAATTCATTTATAAAACTCCTGATTTCAGAATCAGAAGATGACATTTTAATACAGAAGGATGTGAGTTGTTTATTCTTCAGTACTTTCAGTTGTGTACTTGTCAATACTGAGAACCAATACCAATATTTAATGTGAAGTTAAACCAATCTGCAGTGAACAGGACGGTGGTGTTTTACAGGTGCCTGGACACAAAACTTTAACGTTTATAAAACTGTTGACTGAGCTCTTAGAGGATCTTAAATATTCAAGAGCTGAGATTAAAAATGCAGTTTAAAATGTTTACCTCGTTACTTCACGTGTGCTGCTACCCCTTCACTGCTGTTTAAAAAAATATTATAAACCACCTGCAGTGTCACGACACAGTCATGACTCGTTCAATAAAAGTCAGTCTCTGTTTTAACTATAGATATAATGTAACGAAACTTCAAGCTTCGTGACGAGAAACTCTGCTGTTCAACAACACCTCAACGTATGCAGTGTTCTCAAATAACACAAAACCTACTTGTGTGTGTGTGGGGGGAGGGGGTTGGGGGGGTGTTAGAAGAGCAAAGTACAGTGTTTGATGCTGTAGTTTGCATTTCATTGTGGGATAAAAACAAAGACACTGAACAAACCTCATAACTGTCATAACTTTTTACATTATTCATCAAACGTTGCTCGTCTGTGAAAAGAAAAAGGTAATTTTTTTGTATTTTTTTTTATAATATTTCAGTTTCTTCAGAGAACGGTTTAAAACACTACATAAAATCAGAAAATGTTCCGCAGCATCTGTTTCCTGAATGTTTCCCCTCTGTACAATGTTTTATTGTGAATTTATGAATATAGATTTGACTGCACGGCAATTAAACAGCAGTTTAAGGTGAAAATCTTCTAAAATCTTTGTAAACAACCAAATAACTTTTATATAAAACTCCATTTCCCAGTGTGCTCCTTCAATGCATTAGAGTGAAAGTGAAAATTTGTTTTTCTGAAATTGTCCTTAATGAAGCTTTTTAAAAAACACATTTTTCTCTGAGTGCTGTAGTTATGTTCTCAGTGGCTGCTGAAATAATAAAAAATCACTCACAAGTTAAACCTTCAATCTGTTCAAAAGGCTAGACTGCGTTTCCGTGGGTCGTTCATTAGTCAATCATTAGCTTTTATTCATTTTTGTCTGATTTTAAAAAACAAATTGGTGCAAAAATAGTCAATAATAGAAAAATAGACCAAAGAGTGATCCAATCCAACGGTGGAAATTAAAACAATGAGTGAGGTGAGAAGGTTAGCAGTGTTAGCAGGATTAGCTTCGGTTAGCGTAGCCTTGAAGGAGACGTATTATTGTAGAATTAAGTCACAATTTAGAAACCTTCAGTGGATTACAGAGTTGTTAAAAGCTGTTCAGTTCTCAGTTCAAACTAAAGACATTTAGTGCAGGGATTAAAATGATTGTATGAACATTTAAAAAAAAAAATGTTAAAGTGGAAATATAATCAGTACCAGTGTCTTTCAGAGTGAATAGTACTAACTGACATGACCGGTCCTGAAGAATACTGATGTCTCCTGGCGTCTGGCTCTGATTAGAGTGATTCACGTTGCTTTAGTAATTGCAGCCATCGATTGGTCCGTTCTGGTCGGACAAGGTCGACAGAACAGACACGAGCAGCGACGGGATCACAGTGAAGCCTGTTTGAATATGTATAAGATCATACCAGATTCACCACAATTAGTTCAAACTAATGAGAAATCAATCCTCAGAAGTCAAACTGCAGGACAGACCAAGACAAAGTCTTTGCAGAGACTGCATGTGACCACTAGGGTGACCAGTGCACCTGGAGGCTCCGCTGTGTGTGTGTTGTTTATCGATTCGTAAAGCGAGATCTCTGTCCTGGTGCAGTGTCTGTTTGTACTTCAGATAAACCACAGCTCCGTGTGAGTGGTTTCACCTGATGTTTATGTTTATGTTTGGCAGATCGCTGTGTCATCAGCGTAGAACAGACCCACAGTCTGGCACTAGGCATGTTTGCTCTCTTACAGTTTTATCTGTGAGATAATAAATAAGCCCGTACCTGTATTTCATTTGTGGGTTGTTTTGATTATGAAACTGCCACGACCTTGACTGTGACGATAAACAGGACGTTCACTACAGGAAAACTCAAAAAAAAAAACAACTCCACCCCAGCAGTTAAAGCACAGGGAGGTAGAGGAATATTTAAAACCTCTTTTTCCTCCTTTTAAGTTTGACTTTAAATCAACCAGATTTCTCTTCCATTTCCTGTCTCAGCCCTGGACTCCTTCTGTCCCCGTGGGCTCTCTCTGTCTCAGCTGTAACTTCCTGTGTAGGTTCTGGTCCGTTGGCCTCCAGTCTGCCTGGTCTCACACTGCTCTCCTCTCTGTCTTTTTTTTTCTTTCCTTTCTCAACACTTTATTTCACTGAGATTACGTATTTTCCAACTCAATAACGGGTTTATATCAGTGGAATTGTACCAGCAACCCAAATATTGTTTTATGAGTTGTTTCAAAGACACCAATGCCACCAAATTTTTTTTTGCAACATTCCAAATACTGCTAAAGGACATGGGAGGACTCTGAAGGTACAATGTCTTTTGGTCTCACAAAAGACATTTTAATGGACATTTTTTTAGGTAATGGGGCGGCGGGGGGGCGGGGGACAAATAATAATCCTTAGTTACAGGCTCAGTTTTTCTTTGAACCAAATCAGAACTTCCGAGGTCAGTGGTTTGTAAAAATTTGCAATGTTGTGTAAAACTGTAAAAGGATGAATTGACAACGGCCTAAAAAATATTTTTCTGGTTTGTGTTCATCCTGTGAAACAAGTTCACTCCAGGTACAACGTTACTACAGTTCACATCAGACATTTATTATTCAAACTTGACGTGTGTGAATCTTTTACTAAAACATTAAACACATGTTGTATCCTCTATTAGCTACTGCTAATTTGCGTGTCTGACACAGAAGAGATAAATCTGTTTCCT